TCAATAACTTGACCATAAAATCAAATTCCAAACTTGAATTAATTAGAGAAAAGCATCAAGACACTAGAAAACAGATGATACTCTTCCACCATAAATTAAAGCATTAAGGCTCACAGAAACCTATGTGGATCCTCAATATCCTACTAAAGCACATATAAGCCCTTAGGTCCAGTGAGTTGCCACCAAGCTTAAGCTGAACACCATAGAAGCATACAATGAAGGGCATTTTAGAGCTGAAAGGGGACTCAGCTCAACTACAGTAATTTTCCAATTGGATTCTATGTAATTATACCCTAGGAGACGTTAACGGGTTGGCCAGGAGAAAATGTGCTCTCTGGCCAGGTAAGTTTAGGAAATGCTTGGATAACCTTCCCCGGGAAGCTTACACCTTGTAAGTGTACGTGCATATTACTACAGTAGTAAAGGTTTTGAGAAGTCTTGCGGTTAAAAGTAAATCAGAAGTTAAGCCAGATGTAAACAAATATGCTCCCAAATTATTTGCCATGGAACACTGTTTTGGGGCAGTAAGAGTATTAATGGATTCAGAACAGTGTTCAGGGGAAACAGTTTGGAAAAATGTGAACCTATGAAATTCCCTTAAACAGATGACAAATCTGAGGCCTAGAGATATCACACCTGGTCATCAGGAGAACAAAGGACTTGAATGAAATCTCTCCTTCCCAAGACTTCTTTCCACTAGTTTAACTATTAAATAGGACTCCTTTGACTGCATATAGTCAAACATTTAATTAACATTTACTTTACATTTAATATTTTGGTTATGGTGTTACATTTCCAGGTTTGTGTATTAACTTAAATGTTTTTAATTCTTTGAGTCTCGGGTTCCTGATAATCAGGGTCACCTGGAGATCTATTGTTTAGTAATTCTGGGTAATGATTTAGTTCAGAGTGGCTGAAAGTAATCACTTTAAAATAAACCATTTGTACTACAACTGGTTTTAATTTACTGTCGTTATAACTTGTCAGCTCAACAAAATCACTGTTGTTTATCAGGTGGAGAGTTACTTACAATATAAAGCTAACATATGTTATCCACAGTAAAATGCGAGATCTTCTGTCTACACCAAGACAGCCAACAACATCGAAATTGAAGGATTTTGTCTTTCTATAGTTCGGGGTTAATTTCTCAGGCAAAAACTTAGTTTCCTATCTTTCCTGTAATCACAAAAAAAGTTTTGATTGCTTTAACTGCAATCTCCAAATCAGATTTTTCCAATCTTTATATTTCTCAAACTCCACAGAACTCTAAGAAAGTGTAAGAATAATCAAACCACAAATTACTTAGCTTTAAAAAAAAGTAGTTGTGTGCCACTCCCCTTCCCCCTCCGAGAGTGGAGGAGACCGAACAAGCGACTATTGTTATGTTGCAACTTTAAAAGTCTTGGGAATCAAAGGTGATGATTGTTAACAACTTCCTTATAACTGATCTGACTTCCTCTAATAAACTTCTACACTCCTTTCCAACCCTCCCCCGCCGCATGCAATATGAACCAGGGCGGGCATTTGTGTCTCCTCAATCCTAAACTAACCCCCCAGATGCAAGAGGCCGCACGAAGCCTCGATTCCGCCAACACAGAAGTGCATCCGCGCGCTCTCATCGCACAGGTGCGACTTCCACCCCAACCTCGCGCACCGCGCGGCCCCTGCGCAGGAGGCTCGGCCCGGTCACCCGACGCTCCGGCC